TAATAGTGGCGATATTAGCTGTTCCGGAGTTAGGGGGAAGCCATACTTGGTTTTCAAGTGCATCTGGTAGAATGGAATGAGCCCTAACCCTTTGTGGCTGATGTGACACCCCACTAGTACCCGTCCTTTCATGCAGAGATACTGCACTACTACTGGTGGTTGCTGCTCCTTGCTAGAACGCCTTTGTTTGTTGGCACACTTTCCTCCTTTGGTTCTGTTACAGACCCACTACTTAACATTGCTTCATATCCTGAATCAGACACGGAGTGTCCCACAGCTCTCGTCTGTCATAATGAGGATTTGAAATGCCTCCTCGCTGGTAAATAGTTTTTTAGACATAATGTACGCAGGCTTTGGTGACACACTGCTGTGATGGGGACACTGGGACAGATGTGGCTGCATTGGGGTGCGCTATTGAGGCTGCTCTGATGGGTGCTGATGTGGCTGCACTGATGGGTGCTGATGTGGCTGCACTGATGGGTGCTGATGTGGCTGCTCTGATGGGTGCTGATGTGGCTGCTCTGATGGGTGCTGATGTGGCTGCTCTGATGGGTGCTGATGAGGCTGCACTGATGGGCGCTGATGAGGCTGCACTGATGGGCGCTGATGTGGCTGCTCTGATGGGTGCTGATGTGGCTGCTCTGATGGGTGCTGATGTGGCTGCTCTGATGGGTGCTGATGTGGCTGCTCTGATGGGTGCTATTGAGGCTGCTCTGATGGGTGCTGATGAGGCTGCTCTGATGGGTGCTGATGAGGCTGCTCTGATGGGTGCTGATGAGGTTGCTCTGCTGGGTGGTGATGTGGCTGCTCTGATGGGTGCTGATGTGGCTGCTCTGATGGGTGCTGATGAGGCTGCTCTGATGGGCGCTGATGAGGCTGCACTGATGGGTGCTGATGAGGCTGCACTGATGGGTGCTGATGTGGCTGCTCTGATGGGTGCTGATGAGACTGCAATGATGGGTGCTGATGAGGCTGCACTGATGGGTGCTGATGAGGCTGCTCTGATGGGTGCTGATGAGGCTGCTCTGATGGGTGCTGATGAGGCTGCTCTGATGGGTGCTAATGAGGCTGCACTGATGGGTGCTAATGAGGCTGCACTGATGGGTGCTAATGAGGCTGCTCTGATGGGTGCTGATCAGACTGCAATGATGGGTGCTGATGAGGCTGCACTGATGGGTGCTGATGAGGCTGCTCTGATGGGTGCTGATGAGGCTGCACTGATGGGTGCTGATGTGGCTCCTCTGATGGGCGCTGATCAGGCTGAACTGATGTGGCTACACTGATATGCATTGATGAGGCAGTACTGATGGCCACTGAGTGGCATTGTAAAACATTGTAAAATGTATGGCTCGCTGTCCAGCATCATATCCGTCTTCTTCCCTCACACTCGGTCTTTGTGTGAGGGAAGGAGAGCTATCAAACCCTGGATGACCTTTCTTGTTTACATTTGTGATCGCTTATTGTTGAACACAGAAATCATGTGGTAAAGGGCTGCTGTGATTGGCCTTTTACCCCGATCTGTGATGCTTTGTGTCTAAGGCACACAGCAATCACAGACACTTCCTGATGTGCACCCCAGGGGGCACGCTGGAAGCGCGTTCCCAGGATGATGTCCCTGGATATCCTCCCAGATCTAGACGACTGAGCTGAGCCATCTTTTGGCTATATCGCAGTATTGAAGTGGTTAATGGAAAGTGCTTTTTTATGTTAGTTTTTTGCCACCCAGGTATAACTTTTGTTTTTGTTTTATTGTTTCCTAGTGGAATGCATTGACGAGTGCTGTTGTTTAATATGTCCTTAAAGCACTCCTACTTCTCTTCAGCGGTCTTTGTTTCAAGAATTTGATCCCATTTAGTGTCATGTATTATGGAGCACAGCTTAGTAAAGTTAGAAATATTAGTGTACTTCCCCCAAGTGTCCTTTTGTAACTTGCAGCAAACGTAATTACTCTGTGATCACTGTTACCTAAATTATTCCTTACTTCCACATCTGCAGTCAGCTCTGTGTTGTTTGTAATTAGTAGGTCCAGCAGAGCATTATCTGTAGTTGGGGCTTCCACCATTTGACTAATGAAATTGTCCGGCATTAGATTCCAGAAATGACAAGCCTCAGCCGAGTGAGCCGCACCGCCTGCCCACTCAGTATCACGTTAATTGAAGTCCCTTATGATTATAACATTACCCTGCCACCTCTAACTGTGAAAGGAGATGGGACTCCTCATCCTCTGTAATGTTAAGGGACCTATAGCATACACCTAAAATTAACATTTGTTGGGGCTAAGGCGGGAACAGAGACAGCATGAGGAAGAGAGCTGTTGGTTTTGGCGGGAACAGACAGCATGAAGAAGAGAGCTGTTGGTTTTGGCGGGAACAGGCAGCATGAGGAAGAGAGCTGTTGTTGGTTTTGGCAGGAACAGACAGCATGAGGAAGAGAGCTGTTGGTTTTGGCGGGAACAGACAGCATGAAGAAGAGAGCTATTGGTTTTGGCAGGAAGAGAGCTGTTGGTTTTGGCGGGAACAGACAGCATGAGTGTAACGTACATGTGACATGATGTAACGTACAGGTGACATAAATGTACAGATTTGAGTAGATAAGTTGTGATCAGTAGCAATATGTAATCGTAACTGGAGGGACATTCCATTGTCATTAAAGATGTATATTCAGTCAGAGGTACTTAGACACAGAGGCATCAATTAGCGTCTGAAAAGCCCGGCTTCCTGGATGTTACACCTTTGCGTTAATAAGGTTGTCACCTTCTGGGAAAACCTGTTTGGAGGAAATGACTGCAGACGTGTTGTCTGCCTGACATTGGAAGCTCTAAAAGGAATATCCATACATCAAAGAAGTATGTTTCATCCCTCATAAAAGATAAAATATTAGTTGCAGAGAGATGAACATACTCCCTTCTGTTAGGGCACTCTGTGTGCCACACTGACACCTAAAAATCATATTTGTGGATTAGGTAGAAGGCAGGAAAATGCAGGAAATGGTTAGGTGGCGCTGGATGGCTGCAGTCGAAAAGTGTTTGGTATTGTCGTGATCGGGCCGATGTGCTGGTGTCGGAAATCCAATCCCCGACTTGGTGTTTCAAGCCGGTCTTAGTCCGATTGAACTTGGGCAGGTCAGCACCCAGAACATCATGTGGGCAGGTACAGGAACACCCCCCAGGGTCAATTAGCCAAGGACTAATGTCCCGCCTACATCCATATCCCCATAAATGGGGTGAACGGGCATTGGGACATTTGTGATTCGTATGGAGCTGGTTGATCGACCAACGGATTGCTGACTTTTCTGACTTGCTCCAGTCGCAGGATAGATCTCGGTAAAGTTTTACTTCTGTTTTTTATTCCCTTTTATTTTATAATGAATAGTCATTTGTGTGTCTTCTTGTATTTTTTGTATTTCTGTAACTTTTTATATTTTGTACATATTTTATGCTCCACCCACTTTCGGGAAATTAAATCTTAAAATTAATTAGTGACTTCTGTGTATTTAAGCTCGGGCTCATATCTCCGGAGAGATTAGATTGGTGAGATTGTATTGTATTTTAGTGCCTTTAAACGCTCGGTCAAGCTCATTACCAATCTGTATGCAATTGCACTGTGTGTGGGCAGATTGTGTGCAGATTGTAAAAGGTAACAGATCGGCCAGACGGAGATCTGTGTGTGTGGGGTGTCCCAGCAGACTGTTCTGCGGATAAACTGTTGAGTGGTGGTAGGCTACCTTTTGTGGTGTGTCTGGTGTGGGGGTGTGTGGACAGTGGAAGGGTGCTTAACACCGGGGTTCAAGCTGTAGGATAGCTGGAGGGCCCTAGAAGGGTGTAATTGCTGAGCTGGTCCTCATCTCTTATCAGTGCACCAGATTGTATGTAAGATTTGTATCTGCCAGTGTGTGGTCGACCAGCTGGATTGGAGTGGAGTCTCCATCCGGTGGTGGCCAGAGGTAGTGCGGGCTGTGGAAGGATATCATGGCTGATCTTATATACGGTTTTATATATTCAAAGTTAAGTCCCCTTTATTCCCTCTTACCCCAAGTCACGGCCGCACGTGTGCGCCTCGGTTAGCTAGTCGCTGTGGGCGTGGCGTGTGGGTGATTCGTGACAATGAGGAAGAGAGCTGTTGGTTTTGGCGGGAACAGACAGCATGAGGAAGAGAGCTGTTGGTTTTGGCGGGAACAGACAGCATGAAGAAGAGAGCTGTTGGTTTTGGCGGGAACAGACAGCATGAGGAAGAGAGCTGTTGGTTTTGGCGGGAACAGGCAGCATGAGGAAGAGAGCTGTTGGTTTTGGCGGGAACAGACAGCATGAAGAAGAGAGCTGATGGTTTTGGTGGGAACAGACAGCATGAAGAAGAGAGCTGATGGTTTTGGCGGGAACAGACAGCATGAGGAAGAGAGCTGTTGGTTTTGGTGGGAACAGACAGCATGAAGAAGAGAGCTGTTGGTTTTGGCGGGAACAGGCAGCATGAGGAAGAGAGCTGTTGGTTTTGGCGGGAACAGACAACATGAGGAAGAGAGCTGTTGTTTTTGGTGGGAACAGACAGCACGAGGAAGAGAGCTGTTGGTTTTGGCGGGAACAGGCAGCATGAGGAAGAGAGCTGTTGGTTTTGGCGGGAACAGACCACATGAAGAAGAGAGCTGTTGGTTTTGGCGGGAACAGGCAGCATGAGGAAGAGAGCTGTTGGTTTTGGCGGGAACAGGCAGCATGAGGAAGAGAGCTGTTGGTTTTGGCGGGAACAGGCAGCATGAGGAAGAGAGCTGTTGGTTTTGGCGGGAACAGGCAGTATGAAGAAGAGAGCTGTTGGTTTTGGTGGGAACAGACAGCATGAGGAAGAGAGCTGTTGGTTTTGGCGGGAACAGGCAGCATGAGGAAGAGAGCTGTTGGTTTTGGCGGGAACAGACAGCATGAAGAAGAGAGCTGTTGGTTTTGGCGGGAACAGGCAGCATGAGGAAGAGAGCTGTTGGTTTTGGCGGGAACAGGCAGCATGAGGAAGAGAGCTGTTGGTTTTGGCGGGAACAGACAGCATGAGGAAGAGAGCTGTTGGTTTTGGCGGGAACAGGCAGCATGAGGAAGAGAGCTGTTGGTTTTGGCGGGAACAGACAGCATGAGGAGCTGTTGGTTTTGGCGGGAACAGGCAGCATGAGGAAGAGAGCTGTTGGTTTTGGCGGGAACAGGCAGCATGAGGAAGAGAGCTGTTGGTTTTGGCGGGAACAGGCAGCATGAGGAAGAGAGCTGTTGGTTTTGGCGGGAACAGGCAGCATGCATGAAGAAGAGAGCTGTTGGTTTTGGCGGGAACAGGCAGCATGAGGAAGAGAGCTGTTGGTTTTGGCGGGAAAGAGAGGTAGCATGAAGAAGCTGTTGGTTTTGGCGGGTAAACAGAGTGTTGGTTTTGGCGGGAACAGTAGCAAATGTTCAGTGTAGTATTGAGTTTGGAGTATAGAATGGAGTACTAGTAGACTTAAGCTGCTATTGGTCCTTGTATTTGTAATTCATTTCTTTCCTAATATTTCTCTTTTGATTTCTTTATAGTTAGAAATACTTAAACAAAAGTTGTTGGAAAAGAATAGGTTCCCTTGGGTGGAGGGGGGCTGCTTTCCTAGTAACCCCAGGCGAGATCCCAATAATCCCGATCACATGGTGGACATAGACACACATAGGATTGGTCACACAGACTGGTGCTCCTGCGGGAACTGTATCCCATTATCCACAGGACCAGAGTCCATCTGCTGCATGGAGATCCGTGAAATCCGGCCTCATCTGGAGGGAATTTCCTGCATAACCCAACATCCATATTTTCCGTACTTATGTGAAAATAAAGACTTTGCCCAAATTCACCAGAACATGATGTACGGCCTACGCACCAAAATCCCAAAGGAAAAAGACAAGAAAAGGTGGGTCAGGCTGCGTTCTAGTAATTTCTGTAAGTGTGTATATATATACTGTCTGTCTGTGTATATATACTGTCTGTATACTGTACGTGTTTGTATATACTGTAGATGTGTGTCATTGTATATAGCATTGTGATGGCAGCCTCCAGCTCAGTACACCATCACACTTTCCCAGTCATATAGTACAGGGCACAGGATCAAATCATTACAACTGGGTTATATACTGCCACCGACAGGTGATTGGACACTAGCAATAAAGAAGTTGCAGAGACATCCCCCTGTTTAACCCCTCCCACTCTCGGCTGCAGGTGCACCCCCCTATATAACTCTTCCCACTCTCAGCTGCAGGGACATTCCCCTACTGTATATAACCCCTCCCACTCTCAGCTGCAGTGACATTCCCCTACTGTATATACCACTCCCACTCCCAGCTGCAGGGACATTCCCCTACTGTATATACCCCTCCCACTCCCAGCTGCAGGGACATTCCCCTACTGTATATACCCCTCCCACTCTCAGCTGCAGGGACATTCCCCTACTGTATATACCCCTCCCACTCTCAGCTGCAGGGACATTCCCCTACTGTATATACCCCTCCCACTCCCAGCTGCAGGGACATTCCCCTACTGTATATAACCCCTCCCACTCTCAGCTGCAGGGACATTCCCCTACTGTATATAACCCCTCCCACTCTCAGCTGCAGGGACATTCCCCTACTGTATATAACCCCTCACACTCTCAGCTGCAGGGACATTCCCCTACTGTATATACCCCTCCCACTCTCAGCTGCAGGGACATTCCCCTACTGTATATACCCCTCCCACTCCCAGCTGCAGGGACATTCCCCTGCTGTATATAACCCCTCCCACTCTCAGCTGCAGAGACATTCCCCTACTGTATATAACCCCTCCCACTCTCAGCTGCAGGAACATTCCCCTACTGTATATACCCCTCCCACTCTCAGCTGCAGGGACATTCCCCTACTGTATATACCCCTCCCACTCTCAGCTGCAGGGACATTCCCCTACTGTATATACCCCTCCCACTCTCAGCTGCAGGGACATTCCCCTACTGTATATACCCCTCCCACTCCCAGCTGCAGGGACATTCCCCTACTGTATATAACCCCTCCCACTCTCAGCTGCAGGGGCATTCCCCTACTGTATATAACCCCTCCCACTCTCAGCTGCAGGGACATTCCCCTACTGTATATACCCCTCCCACTCTCAGCTGCAGGGACATTCCCCTACTGTATATAACCCCTCCCACTCTCAGCTGCAGGGACATTCCCCTACTGTATATAACCCCTCCCACTCTCAGCTGCAGGGGCATTCCCCTACTGTATATAACCCCTCCCACTCTCAGCTGCAGGGACATTCCCCTACTGTATATACCCCTCCCACTCTCAGCTGCAGGGACATTCCCCTACTGTATATAACCCCTCCCACTCTCAGCTGCAGGGACATTCCCCTACTGTATATAACCCCTCCCACTCCCAGCTGCAGGGACATTCCCCTACTGTATATAACCCCTCCCACTCTCAGCTGCAGGGACATTCCCCTACTGTATATAACCCCTCCCACTCTCAGCTGCAGGGACATTCCCCTACTGTATATAACCCCTCCCACTCTCAGCTGCAGGGACATTCCCCTACTGTATATAACCCCTCCCACTCTCAGCTGCAGGGGCATTCCCCTACTGTATATAACCCCTCCCACTCTCAGCTGCAGGGACATTCCCCTACTGTATATAACCCCTCCCACTCTCAGCTGCAGGGGCATTCCCCTACTGTATATAACCCCTCCCACTCTCAGCTGCAGGGACATTCCCCTACTGTATATAACCCCTCCCACTCTCAGCTGCAGGGACATTCCCCTACTGTATATAACCCCTCCCACTCTCAGCTGCAGGGACATTCCCCTACTGTATATAACCCCTCCCACTCCCAGCTGCAGGGACATTCCCCTACTGTATATAACCCCTCCCACTCCCAGATAGCCTCAGTTTTTGCTGGTGTCTTTAGGCGATGGATTGTTTTTCTCTATTGAGGGAAATTTATTCTCTTCAATGGAGGTTTCTCTCTCTCTGGATGATGATATTCCTAGATGATTCTTCTATTGATCTACTGCATCAAAGCCACTTTGGCTACTCATGCTGCTTCTAAATCACTTGACACCTTGACAGAGTCTTGAGGGACCATACATGGACCCCACCAGCTAGAAGATGCCTGTAATGTTGCTTCATTCTCTTCATCCTGCTGGGGCACTTCCATTGGCATGCGTCTCCCTGTCTGTGGCTGAACTATGACATGGCAACATCTCCTGGTTCTCTGTCTGCTGGGGCACATTATAATGGCTATGGTCACTACCTGGGTCACTAACCCTACAAGAGCTTGACACCGAGAAATGTCAAAGGAACAGGGAGGCAAATGTTCTCGAATGAACACATTTAGGACAGTGTGGTTTTCATTTGGGAAAGTTTAGTTACTGCAGAATTGAAAGTTAAAAGCAAACTAAATTTTAAAGTACTTTCAAAGGACATTTGTCCCGTCATCAAATGTAAAGTGAGTTTTTGTACAATTGTTTGTACGAATGTTCATTAAAAATCTTGTGTGTGGCCACCATAAGCACAATTATAAAGGGTCAGAAGAACTTGCTTGTTCAGGCTCAGCTTTTAGTTCCTAGTCCAAGTCCCCTCTCCTCTTCTACACTCTGACCCCCTACCTTCCTCTGGCCACAATGTCAGAATTCATGGGAAACATTTCTGGCCTTATAGAGGCAATATACAGCAGCAGTCACAACCATGCCCCATTAACCTCCCCTACTGAATCAGTCTTTGATTTGGCCCCTGAACCAAACATGTTGCCTGAAGAGGAGGTGGCAATTGAGAATGTTCCCTCAACGTCTGAGGAATCGGAAAAAGATGATAGTTCTGTAACAGATTTAATTCAAGCTAAAGGACACCATAGTTGTCTTCATTGACACTGCACTCTTTTTGCTTTGGAGCAGCTTGAATTTGCTGTTATGGGGGCCCCTTAATCAACTTACAGTCAGGTCCATAAATACTGGGACATGGACACAATTGTAACATTTTTGGCTCTATACACCACAATGGATGTGAAATGAAACAAACAAGATGTGCTTCAACTGCAGACTGTCAGCTTTAATTTGAGGGTATTTACATCCAAATCAGGTGAACGGTGTAGGAATTACAACAGTTTGCATATGTGCCTCCCACTTGTTAAGGGACCAAAAGTAATGGGACAGAATAATGATCATAAATCAATCTTTCCCTTTTTAATACTTGGTTGCAAATCCTTTGCAGTCAATGACAGCCTGAAGTGTGGAACGCATAGACATCCCCAGACGCTGGGTGTCATCCCTGGTGAGGCTCTGCCAGGCCTCTACTGCAACTGTCTTCAGTTCCTGCTTGTTCTTGGGGCATTTTCCCTTCAGTTTTGTCTTCAGCAAGTGAAATGCTCCATCGGATTCAGGTCAGGTGATTGGCCATTGCAGAACATTCCACTTCTTTGGCTGCTTTTGCAGTCTGCTTTGGGTCATTGTCCATCTGCACTGTGAAGCGTCCAATGAGTTGTGAAGCATTTGGCTGAATATGAGCCGATAATATTCCCGAAACACTTCACAATTCATCCGGCTGCTTCTGTCAGCAGTCACATCATCAATAAATACAAGAGAAGCAGTTCCATTGGCAGCCATACATGCCCACGCCATGACACTACCACCACCATGCTTCACAGATGAGGCGGTCTGCTTAGGATCATGAGCAGTTCCTTCTCCATACTCTTCTCTTCCCATCACTCTGGTACAAGTTGATGTCGGTCTCATCTGTCCATAGGATGTTGTTCCAGAACTGTGAAGGCTTTTTTACATGTCGTTTGGCAAACTCTAATCTGGCCTTCCTGTTTTTAAAGGGCTCACCAATGGTTTCCATCTTGTGGTGAACCCTCTGTATTCACTCTGGTGAAGTCTTCTCTTGATTGGTGACTTTGACACACATACACCTACCTCCTGGAGAGTGTTCTTGATCCGGCCAACTGTTGTGAAGGGTGTTTTCTTCACCAGGGAAAGAATTCTTCGGTCATCCACCACAGTTGTTTTCCGTGGTCTTCCGGGTCTTTTGGTGTTGCTGAGCTCACCGGTGCGTTCCTTCTTTTTAAGAATGTTCCAAACAGTTGTTTTGGCCACGCCTAATGTTTTTGCTATCTCTCTGATGGGTTTGTTTTGTTGTTTCAGCCTAATGATGGCTTCACTGATAGTGACAGCTCTTTGGATCTCATCTTGAGAGTTGACAGCAACAGATTCCAAATGCAAATAGCACACTTGAAATGAACTCTGGACCTTTTATCTGCTCATTGTAATTGGGATAATGAGGGAATAACACACACCTGGCCATGGAACAGCTGAGAAGCCAATTGTCCCATTACTTTTTGTCCTTTAACAAGTGGGAGGCACATATGCAAACTGCTGTAATTCCTACACCGTTCACCTGATTTGGATGTCAATACCCTCAAATTAAAGCTGACAGTCTGCAGTTAAAGCACATCTTGTTCGCTTCATTTCAAATCC